GATTTGGCATGATGTCCTGAGACGTTGCAGCTGATAGGAGTCAACAGAACAGGGAGACGTTAGATGCCCGGACGCCCCTCTAGATAAATGTGTTAAACGAATGAAGGAAAAATATGAGTGAGCACCAAGCAACAACCCTAGGTTCTCCCCTGAGAACCAGACCAAAAATTTTATGTGCAACCCTGCGTATACAGCTACAACAGCCTGGCACTTCCTCCAACCACTGCTTGGTCAGACACTGATGTGGGATGGCRTCCAGTTTCTGCAGTTTGTCTTTAAGTTTATCATAATTGTAATGTTGGCTGCGAGATGTTTAGGTCCAGCAGGCCTGGTGTATTAATGTCGTTATCGTATCTAAACATGTTCAAATGTACAGTACAGGTATTTAGAGGACTCACCTCTTGCTTCTTGTTGTACTCTTCGCTCGCTTTTCTCTGAGTTATGTCCCAGGACACCTGGTACCACTTAAACAGCTCCTCCAGAGAGTCCGTGGCCAGATCGAACGCCATCCCATCATGCTCCATGTTCTGCAGGACCAACACGTGGGGCTTCCCGTTTTTACCGTTTTTCACTGCAAACGAAGGACAAACACAGTGGGATGAGGAGGGATCTGCAAAAACTCTCTGACATGTAGAACAAAAATAAAACATCAAAATTTAATGATTGCATGTTTAAAGGAGCTTAGTCAAAACAATAAGCTGAATTTAGTGCCTTAGCTCAGAAAAAACATCCATATTACAGAGAACAAGTTTACATTTTTTATTTATTAATAGGTTCAAAAGGCTAACAACAAACTAAAAGTATAAAAACAGTAACTAAAAGTAGAAAAAGGCTAGCGATAAGCTCAAAGAATCAAAATAGTTGCTAAGAGTATAAAAGGCTGACTGGAAACTAAAAATAACAAAATATTAAAAGTATAGGAACACTAGTTAAAGCATCAAAAACATAAAYATAAGCTAAAGTAGCAAAAGGCTAACTAGAAGCTGAAAGTATAAAAACATAGCTAATGGTACAATAAAAGGCAGATAAAACCTAATAGTAACAAAAGGTTAGCTAAAAGTGTCATGAGCTGACAAAACCAGAACCAATTGTCCAAAGCAGATTCAAAGAAAAAAAAGTTTTAGATGGAAATAAAGAGACCTCTGTGTATTAAAGAATAAAAGTAGGGCTGAACGATTTTCTAAATAATGTAATTGCAATTTTTTTATGTCTTCTCAAGTATTTTTCAATAAGCGGAAGCAATAAATCAGTCTGTTTTATGATAAACAARGTAAGATTTATTTAAAGCACAGATTACAATAAAGCAAACAAATCTGTGGCTTTACCTTTTCACCCTTTCTAATTTTTCTTGTTTCATGAAACAATATTAAACATGTTAAGTGAACTTCCTAAACACTGTCTGAACTTCACACATGCTGCTGCACAAGGCTTCAGAGAGTCGGACCGCTTTAGGAGAGKGGAGGGGCTCACCRCACCGCTCACTGCTCACGGAGGAGAAAAGTTCTTGGAAAGTGATGTCGCCAAAGCTTCTAAAAGTCTCCAAAAACACGGGGAAAAGTTGCTAGATTTGTCGCTAGTTGCTTTTTAGAAAAAAAAAAAGTTGCTAGAGGGGTCTAAAAAGCCATTAGATCTAGCAACAATGTCAATAAATTAGCAACACCGCTCCGCTAGGCTCACTCCAAAGTCACATGACCAGTCAAATCGCAGCCTGTGCGATTAGAAAATCTTGTTTTAACATATCGTGAGATTATCACAAATGCAATAAATCGTTCAGCCCTAAATAAAAGTTAGAAAAAACAAAATTTATCACACCTAGGGCTGGGCGGTATGACCTCAAATTCATATCACGGTATAAATTGAATCCTTTCATGGTAACGGTATATATCGCGGTAGAAAATTATCATAAAAAGTAAAGATAATGTAATTTTTAGAGCTTTTTTTTGCAGAAAACTGTAATCATAATTGAACTCAGTATTTTTGCTTTAATATCTGCCTGCAAAACAATGAGCTTCTGCCTGCTGAACTTATCAGCTGCTGCTTTGCTGCGCCCATCTTCATCATCTTCATCATCATCAGAGCAGAAGCCGACTTTACATTATTAAGATGGATTTATGACTGAACGAACGTCCACATCTTTTTTTTATCATCTCTGTGGGTAACAATACATAAAAAACAATTTTTTTCTTCAACAATTGGGTGTGAAAAAAACTACAGTTGTTAAAGCTTCGCTCTGCACGACGTGCAGCGGGAGGGTCGGGGGGAGGGGATTTTGAGGGTTTATTCTCTCTGTACATGTTTTAAAACGCTATAATTTCTTCATATTTTGAACTCCTCCTGCTCAGTTGTCTCTGCACTCGCAGCCATGTAGAAACAGGTGCGATGACGTGACTGACGACAGGACGGTAGAATGTAAATTTCTACCGTAGGCCAACTTCATACCTTTTCTACCGTCTACCGAATATACTGTGCAGCCCTAATCACACCCATCTCCTGAACAAATGAACCGTTTTGATTAATGACTAAAAAGAGCACAAAGAAAATAGAGAAAAACACAAACTCACTGGTTTGGATGTTGCACTTGGAGATGTCCACAATCCCATTACAGAGTTCTCCAAGAGGGTTGTCTTCCATGTCCTGTTTCACAAGGCATCACATCGTTTAGAAACTGTTTTCTGCTTTGATCTTCAGCGTGATGGACCCTGAGCTCTGATCCTCACCTGGGCTTTAGTGTCTGCTTGGGTGCTGTTGGAGACTTCCTCTACGTAGTTTGAAGGAAAGAACTTTTGCATCTTTCCTCCGTAGTCACCTTTCCACCTGAGAGCAGGACGTGAACCGTGTTTGTGACAGAAACAAGAAAATGGTAAAATGGTAAATATATAGCGCCTTTCTATCCATCCAGGACACTCAAAGCGCTTTACACTGCAGACATTCACCCATGCACACACACATTCACACACTGATGATGGTAAACTACAATTGTAGCCACAGCTGCCCTGGGGCGCACTGACAGAGGTGAGGCTGCCATACACAGGCACCACCGGACCCTCTGACCACCATCAGTAGGCAAGGCGGGTTAGGTGTCTTGCCCAAGGACACAACGACTGAGTCGACTGGACGGGAATCGAACTGGCGACCTTCCGGTTCCAGGTCGACTCCCCTAACCACTCTACCACAGCCGCCACAAAAGGATCAAAAGGCTTTTGGAGGACCAAATTTTTCCTTTAGGGGATTAGCTTTTTCACTAMTTTTGAAAACMATTAGCGAACTAATTAGCTTCCACTAAATTATGTTTTGCCAACTTTAAGTCCTCTAACAGCTATCTAACAAACTGACATCAGCAGGTTTGTGACAGCTGTCATAGTGGTTAGCAGTTACATAGCTGTTAGTGTAATTTTTACTTTTAGCATTAATTTTTTTTACATATTTAGCAGTTTAGCGTTAGCTTCTGCTAAATTTTTAACACGCTTAGCATTAGCAAAGCTATATATCTTTGGTTAACGGATTATGAGTTAGCCAAGCTAACTTTTTTCCCCACCCCTAGCTTCAGAACAGTTTTTGTAGGATAAACTTTAAATATATTTTTGCCTCCAAGTGACACAAATCAGCTGAAACATCATCAACACATTAAATTCTGTCACCGCACGTCCCCCTCAAACCAAGTTTACTTTGTGACAAAGCCTTTGCTGCGTGTGAACTCACCATCCATCGTTCTCCTTGGACACGTTGTGAATCAAAGCTCCTCTGGTGAAGCTGAGCTCGTCCGGTCTCTTCGCCTGGTAGCTGTACAAAGCCCTGACTGTATTCTGGGGCTGAAAGAGACAAACGGTGTRAATATCAGACTGGAGGAAAACAAACGGGAGAGTCAAAGCTAACGGAGCAGAGCTGCGTACGCACCAGAGAAGGCTTGATCTCAGTGGGTTTCACGTACACTTCTGTAGAATAGATGTCAGCGCTGTTTTTATGCTGTGAGTAAATCATYATTAGAACTAATTCAACTTGTTTTAATGCTTCTAAACTTGGATCGTACRGGCGTTTGCAAAGGACGAATCTCCTGAGCAGAAACTCACGTGGCTGAAGCGTTCAGCCAGCTCCGGTGTGACCGGGTAACGYAGCTTGCTTTTGCGATACAGCGGCTTCTTCTTGAAGTAGTTCACCAGCTCCACAAGACTCTCAAACTCCGTAGTGGTGCCCAGCAGGTAGACGTTCCCCTCCTTCTGGATCCGGCAGTGTTTTACTTTACCSTCACCTCTGACGGGAGAAGATTAACAWGACTCTCGTTGTTCAAGTCAACAGRCCTAGGAAACATCACTGAATCTTGTTTTGAACATTCTTCCTCGTTTTACCTGAACGTGATGGCGAAGGAGTCTGGTTCTCCTTCTCTCTGTCGGATGAGGAACGCTCCATCTCTTGGAATCCTGAGCAGGTAATCCTCAGCCTGCCCTCTGCTCAGATTACTGTAGAACCACCTGCAAACCAAACATAACAGCACTGTGGTCATTATCCTTCTGCAAGCCTTCATGATGATGCATTTTGATACTTTTGGCTAGTTGTAGAAYTTAGCTATCATTTTGCTACGTATAACCTGTCTAGACTTTAACTTGAATGTAAACTTTTGCTTCCTTTAGTAAGTGGTGTGCTACTTTTAGCTAGAATTTGGCTACCTTTGGCTGCTTTTAGGTTGCATACTGCTACTTTTAGTTAATGTTTGGATACTTTTAGCTACTTGTAGCCTTTAGCTCTCCCTTTGTTACTTATAACCTGTCTAGTCTTTACTGTTTAGGTACACTCGTGCTTCCTTTAGCTAGTGTTTTGCTACYTTAARTTAKAATTTGGCAACCTTTGGCTAATCTTTTGTTGCTTTTAAATAGCATTTTTCTATTTTTAGCTGATGTTTTGCTACTTTTAGCTACTTGTAGCTTTTAGTTATCATTTCATTACTCATCACCAGCCTAGTCTTTACTGCTTAGGTAAGCTTTAGCTTTTTTTCGATAGTGTTTTGCTACATCAAATTAGAATTTGGCTACCTTGGGCTAACCTTTTGCTGCTTCGAGGTTGCATTTTTCTACTTTTAGCTTATGTTTTGGTACTTTTAGCTAGTTGTAGCTTTTAGCTATAATTTTGCTACTTATAACCAGTCTAGTTTTTTTTGATTAGGTAAACGTTTGCTTCCTTTAACTATTGGTTTGCTGCTTTAAACTAGATTTTGGCTACGTTTAGGTGCTTTTAAGTAGCATTTTGCTATTTTTAGTTAATGTTTGGATACTTTTAGCTACATGTARCTTTTACCTATCATTTTGGTACTTATAACCTGATACTTTAAACTAGAATTTGGCAAAATCTGGCTAACTTTTTGGTGCTACTAGGTAGCATTTTACTACTTTTAGCCAATGTTTTGCTTCATTTACCCTTTAGCTAAACTTTTGTGCTTATTATTAGTGTTCTTCTTTTARCTTTCAGTGTTGTTGGATTTAACTTTTTAGTTTCAGATTCTTTGTTGTTCAGTCCTCAGCACCCACACAGTTTCGTACTTTAATCTTTACTTTTCTACTCTGTATGTCTGAAAGTTTTCTGAGTTGTGGTACGAACCCTTCCTGCAGATGAGGGTCTTGTTTTGGGACAGCTTCAGTGAGCCGCAGATCGAAGTCATGACAGCGCAGCGGAGTTTCTCTRTAGTGCTGGATCAGAGAGAAAACGCTGGGAAAGTGCAGATTTGGCGTCAGGTAGAAGATGTTGCGGCCTCCCTCTGTGCCRGAGCGAATACGACAGTGCTGGACTCTCCCGTCGCGCCTGAAGAAACACACGGGCAGCGTGTGAATTTACACCGACACACAAACAGCTTTCTGCAGTGTTTCATACTGTAAGTAACTATAAAATATACCAAAATGAGAGYGTGCAGTCATTGACAACTGTGTCACTTTTTCGAACCAAGAAGGTGCCATTTTGTGCTCCGGTTTCTGCACAGTAATTCTGGATCAGTCTCTCAGCCATCAGCCGACCTTCCGGTATGTGACCGTGAAACCACGGCTCCGTGCAGTGCAGCTCCTGGTACTGAGAGACAACAAGTTTACATTTATTACATAAAAACAAATATTCTGTCACTGCTGAATAGTCAGTGTTTTATAATAAATTATCAAATATATGGCTTGATCATTCTTTCTTCTTACCTTCCTGGGATCTTCCTCTTCCTCCTCGTACTCCTCTGCATAGTACAGCTTGTCACCAGAGATCACACAGTAGTGTTTGTTCCACCGCTGACAAAAAACAGAACAGATTAAACGTGTTTACTTGTTCGTGCAAATCAAGCTGCRACCGAGGAAATCTAACATTTCTGTCACATCATTCCACTGAATGAACTGTTGATCAATTTGGGCACCAAAGATTAGATCAGATTAGACATTTTTCTTTATTACTTTCCTAATCCTGTATATCTAACTGGCAGCTAAAATCTGTTTATTATCCGTGTTTAAAGGCTTTGGATTTATTTTTTATTAAATGCTGGCCCATTAAATACTTCAGAAAAAGATCAAATTGTTTTTGTTTTTTTTAGAATCCCAACAAAAAGTCCTTTAAAAATGAATAAATTTGTCTGCTAAATATTTCAAAGGTAAAAAAAAATTATAAATATTTTTGGGGCCAATTAAAATATAAAACTAGAGAAACTGCATTTTTACAGAAAACTGAGCACGGAATGACTGCCAGGGTTGTTCAAGCTAAAAGAAGTGCACCACTATTTAAAAGTTAAAAGAAACTAAAAGCTAGCAATAAACCATAAGTAGCAAAATGCTAGCTAAAAGAGGCAAATTGCTAGCAAAACCGAGCACAATACTAGCTAAAAGTAAAAGATGCTGAATGCAAAAAGTAGCATAAGCTAGAAGTAGCAACAGATCGGCCAACAACAACAAAAAAAGAAGCACAAGAATTGAGAAGTAGAGCAGAGGACATTATTTAAAAAAAACTAAAGAGATATCAGTGTTTTTCTTTGAAAAATAAAGTGAAATATGTTGAAAAGAACATCCATCTCTTAAATTAGCCAAATATTTGAATACCCAGTGCAAACAGCTATAATAACACAAAGTTAGCTGAAGTTAGATTGACAAAAACATATGGAAGATGCTGACTCAGCATTCTGACGTTTAAACAGTTCACGTTACTCATTACTGCTACAACCTGGTCCACGGGGTCCCAGATCTCCAGGTCTCCTTGCTTCTGTCCCTTCCTGAAGTCATTAGTCATCTCGACTCCGCCCTCCACGTTCAGCTTCTTGTGCTGCTCATGGACAAAAATTGAACTTGTCATTTCTGAGCGACGACGCGGCGTCCAGCTGCTCTTCGGCGCGTTCGGACCTACCTTYAGTATGATCTTGCCCTTCAGCTGCGTCGGCGAGGGCAGCTGTTCGGCCATTTGCTCCACCGGTTCGGTCAGAAGTTTGTCTCCGAACACGTCTTTGAAGATCCGCGCCATCTGACGCTCCAGAGGACAGTGTTCCTCTATGGACAGGATCAATGGAAATCTAAAACACACAACCATTGTCTCTTTATAAAAATACACATATTTCTAATGGCAGAGATAAAAAAAAAGATCATTAAACATTTTAACAGACGTTTGTCTCTTACTCTGAGGTGACAAATGCATGCTCGTTGATGGCTTTGACCACATCCTCAAACTTAATTTTGGTGGTCCTGGTCCGGCCGTGATAGATGATTGGCTCCCCTGGACCCTCCCAGCAGTCCACTGTTTATACACACGTCACAGAAAATAATTAAGGCCAATAACTGGAATCAAACATACTTGTGACTTCAATGTAAAATCTAAATGTTTATACTCACGTTCAACACAGCGACATCCCATACGTAAAGCGCGAACGTACGCCTCTGTGGACGACTCACTGAACAGCTGATCACCTGTCAGGTAGCTGTTAAAAAACAAATAAGACACAACAATTTAGATAAATGTGTAACCTTGATTATCACCGGTTCTAACATGTAAACTTTTCCAATAAACACATGAGCATTGACAGAAACATGCAGCATTGAGCTTTTTTTAATAAATTTTAATTCTCCTTTTGAATTCACTGTAGCATTTTGATGGAAACATGTAACTTTCAATCAGTTTGAATTAAATGTAACGCATCATATCGTGTGTAATCATCACAAAGGAACAAAAATATACTCTAAAAATAGATGAAAACCATGAATGAGATGATACCAAATACTCCAAAAAGCACCAAACAGGCACAAAAACAACAAAATAAAGTAAAAACAAACAAGTAGTGAATAAACACACAAAGAACAACTAGGTTAAAGCAACGATGAACAGCTTCAGATAAACGACTCTTTCTGACTGTAAATAAAATCTATATTTTGCGTGGCGACACACTGACGTGTTGTGCGAGGAGTTGATCCAGTAGTGGGACAGCGGGTTGTTCATGTCCAGGTTGTTGATCTCTGAGAACTTCTGATCCCAAACAGAGTTCTCCTTGGAGAACAGGAAGCTGAGGAACTGGAACATAAAATGTTTAATTAACATCTGGACCCACAGAGGCCACTGTTCCCGGTGCCAACATAAAATAAAAACCTCAACGGAAGGCATGTCGCCCGCCGCTGTTAGACCATCTTAGGCTGAGAGAATGACTTCTGAGTGAGTTATTGTTGTTTTTGTTCAAATCTCAAAAATATGTGATATCTCACATGATCTGTTAGCAGTCAGAGTATGTGTTGTGAACAACTCTCAGTTACTACCATAYCAAATTTTAGCTCAGCATCTGCAAAATTAAATGATATATGGCAATTATTGCGCTCGCTATGTTTGGTTGGTAGCAGCAACAGTCTTTAATCACTTTTTGAGGGTTTCACTGAAAATCATCAAAGAAATATGAAACAGTATAATGTGTACTCATACAAATTGTTGTTCGACAAGGATTTGAGGTTGTTTTTGTGTAGTTTTTCTTGTTTGTACATTATTGTTTAAAAATATATAATTTGGGAGGAAAAAGGCACAGATACTATAAGATTTTTTTTCTTCTGATGCCTTTCATTTTATTTGTGATTTGTATTTGTATTGTAYATAAGTTTATTTTGTTATTTTTAAAGAAATTAATAAAGTAAAAAAAAACATCCAGTGGTTTGTGAGATATTTTGCTAACAGTACAAACAAACAAACACACACACAGACAAGAATAAAAACTATATTGCTCTACATTTGGCCTTGGGGGCGGGGGATAAAGATTCTGACAGGCTGTTTTTAGCCCAGTTTAAAAACAAATTTCTTGGTTTATCTACCATATTTGCAAATCTCAAGAAATCCATTAAAAAATATCTTAATAATAAAACCTGTAAATCCTATACCAGGGGGTCCTGCAGCACCCTCAACACCTCTACTTTCTCCACAGACTTGCATTCAAAGAATCACATGTTCTTCATAGATTTACAAATATTTCTTATTAGATTTAGCTTGATTTTAAAAATAAAAGAAATTGAGGGGATTTTCTCCTTACATCCTGAACTTAGTGCTGAAATAAAAATCTGTCTGTTTTAAAAACACAAGCTTGTTGGGTAAAATACCTCGCTAACGGTGAACTCGGGATCGTTGGTTTTCCTCATGGTGTCATCAATAAATACGGTCATCAGTTCTCTGACCTGGTTTAGATCACTGGCCCAGGGTTCCTAAAACAAAGCAATAAGTGACTAATTTAAAAGCTGTAATTAAATAAACTAGCATCAGTTTGCCTCAAAATATAGGAAATAAAAGGTGTCTTTAAATGTGTTGAAAGTAGGGTTAGCAATAAGTAAGGTTAACGGTAAAAGGTTTACCTTTTGATCGTAAATGAGAAACCGTTGAAAATCATGCAGCAGAACAGCTGAGGCGTCCAGTTTATCTGTGTTTCTGTACGATGGAGAAAAACAAAGCTTTCTAATCTGCATTTATGTAACACTTTACGTTAAATAATGACGAGGAAACAAGACCTCACCCCAGAATAAAAGAACAGTTTTCCCTCTTGAATTCATCAAGGATCTGAACAAAAAAATTATAATGTTAAAAAAAAAAACACTGCAGATTAACAGATTATTTACATGCATATGAAAGAGTCTGACCTCGTTCTGTTCAAACATGATCATGTTATAAAACTTGTGAAACTGCACAAAATCCAGACGATCCTTCTTTGCTCCAATGTCCTGGAAAAACAGAAAAGAAAAGCAGCCATCAGTAAAAGTAAAACRTTAAAAAAAGTCAAATAAAAGAGCTGGGGGCATTTGAGCAAGTTTAACCAGAGTTGTGCTTCTAAAAATGTGCAAAAACAAAAAGTTACCTGTAATTTGTCTTTGATGGTCCAAGAGTTGGGAGGTTTATAGTTAAATGTAGGAAGCAGAGCCTTCAGTTCTTTTGCAGAGAGGCTGTGGAAAACAAAAATTAATTAGTTCAAACTAAATGATTCCCAATAAGAACGTTTTAGTTTATCAAACATTACATTCAGATTTAGGTCTACTTACGTGTTTTTCTTGGTCTGATTGACAGAATACATCTGTTTCCTCAACCAACTGGAGAAACAACATTATATGATCAGTTATTAATGATTAACAGTTGAGATCCAAGACGAGATTTAAAGGAGCAAACCTTTCTATAAGAACTGGAGTTGGAGCTGCCAGAGTTTCCTCCCTCAGCAGTTCGAGTCCTATGAGCCATTTCTGTGCCTCCTCGACAGAATCAGCTGTAAATTTACAAAAACATGCAGTTATTAAAATAAATAAATTCACTTTTATCCCTGACAAAAGTGCATTTTTTTACAGATCCCAAACATTTTTTTTACAGATCCCAAAGGAAGATGGAT